CATGTTCACAAGCACGATAGCATTATAGCCGCCGAGGAAGGCAGAGTAACTGCTACCGAGGCATTGGTAGACGAGAACGCTCCGGTGGGAGGTATACTGCCCGAAGTTGCGGTAGCAAGAGCCCGTGCTGCGAACGCCTCGCCAGAGACCGTTCGTCACATTCAATTCGAGCAACTAGGAAGATCAGATCTCCAGGATCGATGCGCTAGTCGGAGCTCCGTTCCTAGGGGAAGAGAGCGTCGACGTGCAGGTAGCCTTAAGCATAGCCGCTTAGCTAGTATTGATGACTTCAGCATCCACCCAGCCAGCTTTAGACAGGATATCATCGAACATAGTCGATCCAGCCGTAACGAGGAGACTGACGAGAGTTCTATTGATGATAATTATACGGACTCTCCTATTCGTGAGGAATCAGCCATTGACGAAACCACACCCCTGGTATCAAACGAGCGTGTGGCAGATAAGGCATCCGCTCACAAGGGTTACTCAAGCCGGTCAAGAAGTTCTCATCATCATCACCGTGGCAGACGTGACTCAGGGACTCACTTGGACCACCATCACAACAGGCCGGCGTCTAAGTCAGGGAAGAAGGGACATGGTCATGGTCACAACCACGCCGACATGGGCATGAACGCTATGGTCCTCCATGTCTTGGGTGATGCTCTAGGAAACGTTGGTGTCATTGCTACCGCTTTGATTATCTGGCTAACTGATTGGTCGGGACGATACTACGCTGATCCGGCTGTGTCATTATTTATTACCCTGATTATTCTTAAATCGGCAATTCCCTTGACGAAAGCGACAGCCCAGGTGCTGCTACAGGCTACGCCAGACCACATCGATCTCCAGGACATTAAAGAAGATATTCAGGCTCTACCAGGCGTAATTAGCTGTCACCACGTCCACATCTGGCAGCTTTCCGACACAAAGGTGATCGCATCGCTGCACGTGCAGGTCGCGTTCCCCATCACGAGTGAAGGGGGAGAGAAGTATATGAAGCTCGCTAAACAAGCACGGAAATGCCTTCATGCCTACGGTATCCACAGCGCCACTATCCAACCCGAATTTTGTCTGGAGCAAGACTGCGTTCCCATTGACGACGGCTCTATGACACTTGATGGGCAAGCCTCACCACGTTATCCACCCGATATGTGTCTTCTAGAATGCGTAGATGACTGCGTGGGCCAAGGTTGCTGCCCACTACCTTCCCGGACCGGCTCTAAGGCAGGCTCGAGCCGCAGGTCTAGTCACTCGGCATCTCATGATCACAATGGGGATAGCGATCACGGACACGGACACGGGCATGGACATGAACATCACCACTAGGGGGGTGATTTGGTCGATAGAAAAAAAAATTACTTGTAACTTTAGACGTTCATTAACATTGGGCTGTCATTATGGTGTGGAAATAGTACGGTCCTGCTCGGCTCTGGCTAGACAGACTAGATAGGCGTCTTTTTTGTTTTCTAGTACCAGGTCTAATAGTGTGTAGGCGTTTAGGGCAAAAAGGGAGGGCGAGGGCGAGGGCGAGGGCGGTCAATCATAATGTACAGATTAGGCTCTGAAATGCATATCTCATAATGCAATGCATTTCATTCCTTGCGGTGCTCGTGTACATATAGTCTTAAGTGTATGTAACTACATGCTTTCTTCTATGATTATTGTATGGACTAGGTTAGATGTCTACCTAGGTAACTGTATGCCTACGATATTAAAGATGAAGCGGCTCATGATATAACTCATCGCGGATGGATACCTGTCGTATAACTTTGGTATTATGTAGGGAGTTATATTCCGACGTAGCATTCCACGTGGACATTTGAAACTGCGCGTTTGCTTCATTCGCCCCCTTTGAAATTTAAGCATAGCGCACGGACGCTTATTTTATTATTAGCGATTGGATTGGCCTCATCGTATCTCACGTCTGCGTCGACGAGTTTTGACAGTTATTTTACGATGTGTGGTATCCGAGTATTCTTCCACATGAACCACAGTACGTTTATCTATTCCGTATGCTATATATCATTACTACCGTAATTTTATGAAGCATAAGAGCCGGTGGTATTCTACGAATAATTGATCGATTGATTGATTGATTTCATACAGCTCGCGTATCTTGCGTTTGATCATCTCGTCTAAGCATTGAACCCGTCCGTAACGGGCAAAGGCATGAATGATCGTCTGACAAGGTGCGAACGCCTGCGAGCTCTCTCTCTCTCGGTATATACTATGTATATAGGGGAGTCTGTAACGTATCGACTGGCTGTCCCCTGGGCATATCAATCATCCCTCGCGATGCATGGGCTACTGATCGGGGTTGGATTAACCCCGTTCACGCATTCGCGCTCGGGATGGCTACGCCGGTGGGCGTGGTGTGAAACCGGGTTCGGTAGGTTAGAATAATTGCATCGATGTGTCTGTCTGTCTGTCTGTCTCTAGTTTTTTTTTAGTTTTTTTTTGAAAGTTGCTTTTCTCTTTTCCGATTCTATACCGCTCTTTTGACAATTTTCGCGTTCTCTCACTTACTCGTTCTTTTCGTTTTCTTGGCTCGCCGGTTCGGGATTCTTGTAATCTGTTCGAATCTGCTCTAGTTGAGCGGTCGTGTTCCATTCTCTGAGAGCTTGGTTCTTTCTCTTTTCTTCGAGTCGTTCCTTTTTTTGTTAGGTTAGGGAAGCTATATCGACGATACCGTCATTATGAAGGTTACGAATACCGCCGCTGCTATAGCGGCGTACGTTCTCTGCTGCCGTGACCTGGTGTCGGCTGGTCCCGTGCAGAAGCGTGGAGTGCTGGATCCCTTGTTTGAAATTACGACTCTTGGTGGCATGACGTTTAAGATCAGTCAGGTTCCGAATAAGAAGTTCTACGGCCAGCGTAAGGGAAGGGGGTCTATGGCTATCGCGAGGGCGTATTCGAAATATGGCGCTGCGATTTCTGATGATTTGCTTTCTACTATAGAGGAGATATTGAAAGAGCTTGGTTTATTAGGGAACGATGGAGCTGGCAACAACACAACTGCTGATCCTCAAGGTAATAACCATTCCCCTCGCTTTTACTGCCTTGGCTTATCGGTTTCTAGGCGAGGTAGCAGCGGTTCCGCAGATGTTTGATTCTGAGTATTTATGTCCGGTAGAGATCGGTACTCCTCCGCAGACTTTGAATCTGGACTTTGACACAGGTTCGTCTGATCTGTGGGTATTTAGCTCCGAGACACCATCGATTCAAGTTATGGGTCAAGATGCCGTATGTATTTGTTGACTCCTTGGATCAACCGTTACTAACTTCATTTACTCTAGTGGGATATTGAGCAGAGCTCGACGGCTAAGCTACAAACGGGGGAATCATGGGCTATCAGCTACGGCGATGGCAGCAGCTCCAGTGGTAATGTCTACTTGGATAAGGTCTCAGTCGGTGGAGTTACGGTTCAAAACCAAGCAGTAGAATCTGCTAGTAACGTCTCGGTGTCGTTTACACAACGACCTGATACAGATGGGCTTCTAGGACTGGCATTCGGTTCTATAAACACGGTTAAACCTACTCAACAGAAGACTTTCTTCGAGAATGCGGTATCAGATCTCGCATCTCCTCTATTTACAGCCAATCTGAGGAAAGCAGAACGTAAGTCTACTACAAACCAATGCTTATTATTATACGGATAGTATACTGACAGATCATAGCGGGAAACTACAATTTTGGTTTCATTGATACAACTGAGTTTACGGGACAAATCACGTTTGTGCCTGTTAATTCGTCTTCTGGCTTCTGGCAGTTTACCTCTGAGGGGTACTCGATCGCCGGCTCAAGTGCTGTTTCTGCCCCGCACGAAGCCATTGCAGATACAGGCACTACCCTCTTGCTTCTCCCACAAGAGATTGCAGACGCGTATTACTCGCAGGTACAGGGAGCTGTCAACGACGTAAGTGGAGCAGGGGGATACGTCTTCCCATGCTCTGCTTCGCTGCCGGATTACACGGCGATGATCGGGAGTCACCAGGCTGTGATCCCCGGGGACTTCATCAACTTCGCACCCGTAGACGGTGACACGTTCGAAGATGCAACGACGTGTTTCGGCGGTATACAGGCTTCGCCAGCAAATTTCCCGCTTGCTATTTATGGGGATATCTTTTTGAAGGCGCAGTTCGTAGTCTTCCACGGTGGTAATAACGAACTTGGATTTGCTAATAAGCCCCTGTGAGGGGTTGGGCTATAAGCTACATACATATATGTATGTATGAGTTTGGTATAGACCTGGTATTAATTGTTTACTCGGTATATATAAAGTCTGGAATTGGTGGTTCATATTATGAATATACACATTAGACTTTGGTTATAACTGTACTTTAGTCTATCCTTAGGGTTGATGATCAGATTCATAGCCGGTATAAATCCAAGGCTTTCTAAGAAGTTCATGTAAGTTGCTTACACCTAAGTGTAAGTACCTAATTAAATCCCAAATATCACTTTAAATCGGATTCGTTCTCACCTATTAGAGGCGAAGTCATCGTTAGCAATTCAACATACTTCGTGAGAGGTCTATTTTGGTCTTCATCATAACCCGGTCGAATCCCTAGTATCGAAACTCAGCAAGTCAGCTTCGTTGTTGTTGGTTGTTGGTGGGGTTTTATCGCCAACACTCTTGGGATTCACCCTCTCGCCTGACATCACACCACTTGTTGATCCTCAGCCGTCCTCCGGTTACCGTGAGTGGTCGCACTGCCTCGGCTGTGATAGTCACGAATGCGTAAATAAATAGTAAAGATAGTAACGGACAATATCGCCGTTTCTCCATTCATTTCCTGGTCTTATTAACCATCTTCTCACCAACACACCCGGGATAGTTTAAATCGGCCCCGGATATACTTCCTCTTCGCCGAGCCGGTTGTGTCCGATCCGAGTTGCATCTCACCGTTATAATCCCCCCCTCTATAACTCCCCCAATACAAACTCCACTTTCAGTCACCCACACCCGGACCGGACCACTTACACGCGCAACCACCACAATGAGCCTCCTTCAACAGAAATACGCAGCCCTCATCAACCCGGACGTCCTCCGAGCCCACCAAAAGCCCATCCTCCTCGCTACTGGTATAACCGCCGCCGTTACCCCGCTCCTCGCCTACGCATGGTCATGCTACCGGGAATGGCTCACCCTCGGCCCCGGCGGCATACCCTACCACTTCTTCGGCTGGCTCCTCCAAACCAGCTTACACTTGATCGCGCGCTCCGACACCCGGGAGCCCCTACCTGGGCCGTACAAGCGGTTGGAGGACGTAGCCGCCATGTACGGTGCCGCGGCGACGAAATCGTATTTCGGGAACGGCCAGAGCCAGATTCCAAAGCGCAAGGGCGGCCGCCCTACCATCCCGACCTTCGTCGCGCCCCAGCGGCAGACATCGGACATCGCGCCCGCAGCCGTCGTGGCCGCGGAGAAGGCGTTCCTGGATGCGCTGGCAGCGGCCAACACCTCGCTCTTCGAGGCCCGGAACAGCAAGCTCGAGGGCCCATTGCACCAGGCCTTGTGGCTGCGGCTCCCCTCCGCGTCGACCGCCGACGACGCCGAGAAGCAGAAGACCCTCCAGGAGCTACGTACCCGAGTAGGCAGGGGCTCAGACGGGGAGTTCGCCCACGTGCACGGCGAAGGGAGTGTTCATGTGACGCTCAGCCCGGCGGATGCCAAGGCTGCGATCGAGGCCGAGTGGGCGGAACGCCATCCGATAGCTGGTGTCTGGGGGTCGCGCGCTATGGTGCCGTGGGGTTTCGTATTAGTGTATGCGCCGCGCGACGAGGCTGAGTTTGCGGTCTTCCGCGAGTTGATGCTTGCTGGAGCGCGGTATGTGACCGAGGGTGCTGGAGTTGAAGTTGTTGCTCCGGAGTGAATGTGGAAAGCCTGGGTAAGGGGGAGAGGGGGGGGATGGAAGGAGTAAAGGATGTGTATTGTTGGTTGGCTGGTATGTACTTGCGTACTTATTTGATATACCGAGGTCGAAGTATATGTTACCTCGTGGTGGACCTGTCGAGGGGAGTTATATTAATGTGTTTGAAGCGTGTAGCTTGTGGCGTAGTAGTATATGCGAATGTGTGATGGAAGATACAAAAATCCATCGGTACGGAAAGCGGTTGGGACAAAGGAGAGATGTGTATAATTACGAGTATACTCTTCTCCTTTTATTATGAAATTGTTGCGTTATTATTACTAGTAATTGCTTTCTCCTGAGCCTGTATTGTACTAGATCTGCTTGAGTTACCGAGTTGCTAATTTTATTAATAGGCTGCATCACGATTCTACTTTAATGACGACTCTGTAAAGCGCTATGATATCCAATTCTATTAGATATATTCTTCGTTTACAAACCACTAGGAATAAATTTAAGTTGTACAATGCATCTAATGTTCTAGCCCCCAAGAGGGGGACGGGCAAGATACTCTATAGTACTGCTGATGGTATAGTTCAAAATTATATGTAGGTAGCATTTACTACTATATCTATGTCTATTTATCGGGTATCTTTACTGGGACCTACGCTACGACACCGAACAGCTGCGAGCACTTCGACCTGAATCTGAGATAGGCAACCTTATTGAAGAGTCTGTTTATTGGTGTTACCTTTGGCCATCTTTTGCTAGAAGTATGTCAGATCAACAAACTGTTGCTCGTCATATTTCGATATGCTATGGCATGCCAAAAAGCCAAAATCTATCCAGATTATAAGGCGCACTCGCAGCTACCGCCTCTTCCCCTGTACGCCATAGGTAAAAACAAGACATAAACAGGAGTGGGTATGATGAACTGTATGCAAGAAAAAAAAAAACCTCGCCCTCCATGCCTCTAGTCGCTAATCATCTTTCGTTAAACATAAAAAAATCAAGAGAGACGTTTCGTAACAGCAACATGATGGTAGGTAACTAATAGTCGCCTAAAGCGTTACGAGCAATACAATTTGCTCATTCGCTTCCTTCCAAAGGTGTTGATTATCATGGTCTCGTGGTAGATTGGCGCGTTAAACAAAGGAGAGCAAGAAAACGTATCAGATCGGAGACAAAACGTCACCTAAACGTAGTTGTGTATGGACCTTCGACTTTGACGTCTCTGATCCCATCCGGCATCATACGAAGCCATTCGGCCCAGCTCTCAAGGTTGACCACGTCCTCGGTCAACCGCATCGAGAATGTCAACTGAGGGCCATGAGGGTTCTCGGGGTACAGCGCCCGAGGTGGTTGCGGTGGAGATAACGTAATCGAAGGTAACCTCGAGTAACCCGAGATTTGTATGTGCAGCGGCGAAGGGAAGCTTAGTATCACCCCCTTCTCCGGGTGCTTGTCTTGGATGATCTTGGGGTAGACGGATAGGAGTTTCGAATGCAGCTCGGCGGCTGACAGGGGATTCGGAAATCGTTGGGTGGCCCGTGTTCGGAGTTGGTCAGCTAGCGTTCTCGTAAACCCGTTTCGGTCCAACACGTCAAAGTAGTCTTCCGAGGATGAGGCCGCAATGAGCTCCAACACTCCCTTCTGCCGTACCATCTTTGAAGACGGAAAGTATGCAGCATCCATTACAATGAGAGTGTCCGAGCGCGCTTCCTCTAATATCTGTTGTATACCGCTCCATCGAATAGTCGAAGCCTTCGCACGGTCCCGAGAACTATCTAGGGTTAGATCGTCGGAAAACCAAATTTGTTGATTTGACAGCTCACCTTGCCAGAACCATCTCCCTATGCTCGTCCAAGTAACTATACCCGTTGTAGTACACAATTTTCAGAACGTCCCTGGTGTCGCTTTTGTCCGTGAAATCATTGATTATCCGCGAGAGCCACCTCCACGAGTTGGTACAGCCGTCCGACGCGGACGACGGAATCTTGAGCACCTCGTACGCAAAATGGTAGTACTTATCAAAGACCCCGGCCAATTCTTCTACCGCGGCTGCCACACCGGGGTGCTCATCATCCTGCCAGTAGATCAGAAGCGCGCAGACGCTGCTGTAGCGACTGCGGTAAGGCGAGGATAGAATCCTCGACGCGGCATTCTCGAGCTCTACCTTGATCGAGTCGATACTTGGCAGGGGTGCGAAATGGTTCGGTGCAGCAGCCAGGGGAGACGTGGAGATGGGCTTCTCCAGCCTCGGGCCTGACGGAAGAGGCGTCCGGATCCTAGCGTCGCTGAGCGGTGGCCGCCCTGGCGTATTATGAGCGTTGTTAGGAGTAGCGGGGGTGGAGTCAATTTCCATCTCTTGAGGATCTTGGGGGAAGTGATGTCTGACACGGGCTGCATGGTTTGGCGCGGGGCTGATCCGGCGACCAGGCAGGGGCGCCAGCTCCTGCAAAGGGCTGGAGGAGCGATATTTCCGCATAGCATCTTCCCACGTCATATTATGATGGTTTGGGTGACACTTGAGAGGGTAATCATGTGAGCGTCATATTGCTAACGGAATTTAAGGTAGGCAGATCGTAATGTGTGACTTACAGCAACCCTCCGCCTTCTGCAGTCGGCGCACGCGCCCAGCTTCCGAATCAGTGCGGCTTTCTCCCTCTGCTGGGCAGATAAAGGTCCCGTCCTCCTACGACTAGCACGACGATTGTGCGAGATCTCTGATCCATCCTTGACCGAGAAGATGGACTGTGACGATTCTACGCTATAAGCCGTCGAGTTAGTGTCATTCGAGACATTGGAGATTGTCGTCGTATCGGTAGTAGTTGTCGACGTGGATGAGCCCGTGTCCTTCCTCATCGGCGTCGCCGACTGGCCTGGTGATGCTGGAAGGCTTCCATGTCGCACGTGCTCGGGGTGTGCTCCCTGGTGTGGTTGAAGTTGTTGCTGAGCAGGTTGATGATGATGCCCGCCGGACTGTGATTGCTGCTGTTGTTGCTGCTGCTGCTCATGCTGATGAGAGACGTGTTGACCTCTATCCTCACTCTTGCTGTCTTTAGGAAATGACTCCGACAGACTGGGTGCAGGATGCATGTCGTTCTAGGCACTCACACAGCGATAGCACGGCTACCTCATAATGAAGAATGATGAAGACGGCTCGGAGGAGCGCGAGATGGGAAGTTTGAGGGATTCGAGGGATGCTAGCACCGGGAGTGGAGAATATTAAACGAGGGTGATAGCAAAATTGCCGCGAAGTGAAGAAAGAAATATGTAAGGATATGTACGAATATGTATAGAATTAATAGACCGTTAATAGACCTGTGGTTAACAGACCGGGAACGAATACAGCTGGTACCGTAGATCTAGCTTCTAGACGCAAAGCGTAGGCCGGTCTGGTCCACTACCTAAGAGATGTAGGTAAGGTATATGGTAAGTATGTGGTAGGTATGTAGAGGTAGGTATATGGTGTGTATATGGTATATGGTGTATGGTGTGTATATGGCGTATGGTGTGTATGGTGTATGGGCATCGGACGTATGAGATGGGAACGATACGGTTGTATGGTTGATAGATATGGCGATTACATGCGACAAGGGCAATTATGCGACTGGTCAAAATGTTATGTACCTAAGGTATAAGGTATAAGGTAGGTATAAGGTAGGTATAAGGTAGGTATAAGGTATAGGTTAAGTAGGTCCAATACAATACAAAAAGGATACTACCTACATAATAGATAATAGAAGGGAGTAGTAATAGAGGTATATAATTCTTTAGTAGGTCCTTAGTAGCCCGTAGTAGCAAAGCCCGTAATAACTAGCCCAACTAAACTGCAACTTCCAAGAGAGATAAAAACACAACCTTGGAAAGAAAGACCTCTATAGAAACTTAGAAACATAGAAACGACGAGGATCGTGTGCGGCTTCCGAGGCACTGTAATACAAGGATCCAATGAGAGCTCGAGTTGCGGTTCCTGTTAGGTACTTGTACTATGTAAAGATTTTGAATAGTGCGGGGCCGAGTTCTTTCCATCTTTCTCACCTACCTGATACATCACATCCAAGTATCTATACCACTTTAGATCCTAGAAGGAGTACTTTACCTTGACGATTCTGCATGGTACTCCCAAGATGGCGGCGGGGCCGGTGAACATCTACTTCATGTACGCGGACATGCGACTACCTTTTCTTGTTTGCTAGTTACCTACTATCTATGTAGCTCTAGTCTTTTTTCTAAGTCCCTCTAAGTCTATCTTGTCTTAGATCGTCGTCTTCTCTTTTTTTTTTCTCTTCTTCTTTCCGTTCTCTTTTAATCTTCGCCCTTCTCAAATACTAAAAAAAAAAAAAAAAAGGGCCGTTACGTATCATTCCCCGAAATTACAGCTTACCAAGGTCAACTTGTTTTTATTACCATTATGTACGGTCTAAAGACTTAATTACCAACCGATAATCTATATCGGCCGATAATAAAAAGAAAAAACACATGGGGGAGCGCCCAACTGCAACACAGCGAGACGTGAGGTTGCTCTCATGTATCGTTTCAATCTGATTTTGGCCGTGGCTACGGCGGATCTCAGGTAAACACGTGGTAGTCCATTTTCTATCCATTTTTCAAGTTGCCCGCCAATGAATCTCTCTACCCACCAATCAGCGTCAGCGCCAGCGCAGACGTCGCAGACATACAGCCCAGAGAGACGTGACACTCCGAGTGCCCACACGCACCCCCCTAGCCCGTCGACCGTAGGCTCTTTCGGTCAAGAGGCGAGGCAATGCGAGGCGACACAAGATCAGACACGTCTGCGCTGTGAGGCCACACATTACCTGCTACCTACCGACATTGCCAATGCATGCGAAGGATGGGAAAAGGGAGGAAAAAAACAATTAGATACCTTACCTACCTTATTTACCAGGTTTTTTTTTTTTTTTGTCCCGGACATTTCCTCCACCTGCTGCTACGTCTACGTCCACGTCCTTAGCACGCGGGTTGGCCCTTGTCCCGTTATTTTCTGCTCTTGTTTGTGGCCGTCTGCCGCCCTCATCCGATGCTGCGAAATGCAAATCCGTCACAGGCGAATATGCATCCTTCACTCGGTCTACGACGCGATGCCATGGATCAGCCCATGCATTCTGTCCCCCCCGGGTTGACTGATTTGTTCAGCCGATATGAGCTTCATGCAATTGTTTGTCATCTGATAGTCGATTTCCGATCTACGATGGACTCGAATCCCCGTGACCAATCTCTATTTCGTTTTTAACTACTTATCCATGTCTATTCAATCTCTCCGGGTTACGGCTGAACGAAGATTTTGTGTCACCCTCATACCGATCCGCGTCTAGGGGTAGGTGTTCCTGTTCCTGCTCACCTTTCCCGCACCCTCCTCGGTGGCTGGGCTACTGGTCCCTTTTCGGTCAGACACGGTCCAATCTCCCCCCTTTCCGTCGTGTTCCCCTCCTTTACCGTCTGGTAGACATTGCCGAAGGTAGAGCTCGGCGCCTTCGATCTGCACAACTTGAAGTGCAGCAGAAGCCTATCGCGCATCCTCAGCCCTGGTACCTCCTTCGGTCACAATTTCTGCATGTCTACGTCGTCTTCTTGGTACGTTACCACTTTATATACTATGTCCCGCCGCTTCTGGAAGGTCGGTAGAAGGTGACTGGACGGAGGGGGCCCTTTCGGCATCCCTCACCGAACCCCCGAGCTGGATTAGACGTAATCTGATAGGATAAAAGCCTTCGCAATCACGTCCTTCGTGGGGACCGCAAGCTAGGTATGTTAAAACTCTTGGCAAGACTTACCTCCGCACCAGTACCGGGGACTGCGAGGGGGTTAAAAAACATTACCTGTTCCTCCCGGTGACAATGCCAATCAAGACTCCCGCATGGGGAACTAAGGGCCGCTCTAGGAGCCGATGCTGCTCGTGGCTGGATTAGTATATAGCACCCCCCGCCGGTACGTCCAGTAAAATTATAATACCAGGCGCTTGGGGGGCCAATTTAAGAGGATTAACAGATGTTCCTAGGCTCGTCATAAGTATTCAAGGTTCCCCCGCAATGGACGCCGTCCGATAGAATTGCCTCAAATGCCCGGTCTAGGATGGACCTCGCTGAGAGTTTCCTGACGAAGCGGCTCCCGCCTCAAATTGCTCTACAAATTAGATCTTTGGATTAACTATGAGACCAGTCTATCGGAATTAAATCCGATCGCTATTAACCGAGTTCAACATATCGGCCCTCGCTCCTAGCATACCGCAGTATTCAAAACCTAGGGTCGTTGTTTGGATTGTCTGGATCATCTGGAGTGCAGCTCTCCATAGTAGGAAAATTAGCAGCTCAGCTATTCGTGTACATTGGGCACTCGAATCATCTGTCACCACGCCATTGGCCAGAAACGGCCTCGCATGTTTGATAGGTAGTCACCTGCTGCGCCAATGAAGACGTGACGAGGACAGCGAATTCGAGAAATAACAACAAACCCCAAACGATCTGATATTCAGCTTCCCCTTTCCGGACCTTTCCGCACCGGTTCCTACTCCGGGAAATATAGCTTTTCTACTACATTTGCTCTATATATTTCCGAATTTTTATAAGCGCGATTTTCTTGAATATGCTATGAGCGACTAGTTATCGGTGGATTATCAGTATTATACTGGATCGTCCTCGTGTCTTGTAGTTATAGTCTTTGTCAGCACCGTGTAAGCCAGCAAAAGTTACAGTCAATATATTAAAGATGCACAGGTAAGCCTCCTGCGTGGCCCCTATATCCGTGTCAACCACGTCAACTAGAGCTAGATGTCTATCTATCGTTATTCTTAGGGGGCTTAAGTACACGGCGTCGATGGCTTGGGGAGTGTCGTACCAGTAACCCAGCGCTGTCAGCTCCAGTCCTACCCAATGCTGCTGGTGTTTGTCTGAGGCTTAACAGGTAGGCGTCACGTTATTACCAGGGTTCCCCATGGATAGACGCCGAAAAGTGAGCATTTTGAGTCATGCTTAGTCCCTCCTGGTGCAACATAGCTCTGCCTTCTATGAAACACCGGCGACTAACATTTAGGTGCCCACCGAGACGTCTTTACGCCGATCAAGGGAGACTATGGGGTCTATGGAGACTGCGCTGGTTCGTCGAAGTCCACGCTGAGCCGCCGTTCGTACGGGATAGACTCCCCCCGTTGGCTAACCCCCAAGGTAACCCTCGCTAGAACAACGTGTGTAACGAAATCGTCTAAGCATAATGATTATATGGACCGTATACCCGTCGACCGACCAATTACGACGAACGGCTCCCCGATACGACGCTGATCACTCTGCCATTATGGGACGCTGACCGGGAACCAGCCAGAGCCGTACGTGCCTCACTCTCTCTTCATCTCTTATACCGAAGCGCTGAGAGTGGGAGAGGGAAAAAAAGCTTAGCTAGCTAGTTGCCCTGTGCCGTTTTCCGTGGCGTATTAACCCCCCTTGGGCTCTCACTACATTGCTTACGCCCGCGCGGGTCAGCCAAGGCTATTGCTGCCTTACCTACCTTAACCACTCGCCTACCTGCCCGCCTCGTTCGCCTCCCATACGACGTGATGTATCGTGATGCTCCATTGTGCTAAGCTCAAAACATCTCGGGAAACTAAGCGACCAGCCTATGTACGTATTGTATGTGTTACTAACAAGCTGTAGCTCTACCTCCCTTCCCCCCACTCGCGTTACGTGGATGGACATTTGCCTAACGACCTAGACATACATATACACGCATGCGTACATACGGGAGACCTTCTGTCCTCTCCATCTAGGTCTGGTGTCAAGAGCTCATTGGCCTCATCTCCGCCGTCCACCCTACGGGGGCAGGGTGTCTGGTCTGCTTTTCTGTGTTGCTTTCTTTCCACTCCGGGCAGAGGGGAGGGGTGGGGGGCTCTCGCTATGCTGTTCCCGCTGTCGTAATATCGCAGAACCAATGCTTCCGCCATCTTGGAACTGATGCCGTGGCCTATGCCTGTCGATGATGGTGAGGTAGGAGCCATGGGACCATGTAGTCCGAGTTGTTTGTTGGCTCTGCGCGAATCCGCCAGTACGCTACATTGGGTTCCAGCGCGAGGGTTTAGATATCGTACCGAATTAGTGCTGGCGGAGTGAATTCTGCCTATAGGGCTGTAGAATCGATAGTGGCTCCATTGATTGGCAATAGAGGCTGCGTCTGGTTGGTAACGTAGATTTGATACGTCCTAGGACCCTTTGTTAGCTGCAGTTAACAATTTTTACTTTCAAATAGCAAAGAGAGACGATAACGAGTAGGTAAAACGGGACTGGTTCCATTTGGTCAACAAGTTTTAGCACGAGAGACGAGATAAAATTTTTGATATTCGAAAATATTCAAAAAAATAAAATTAGAAAAAATAAAATAAAAATAAGAACTCTAGCATCATACTGAACGATGGTATCCACATCTGTACACATAATTCAAACCCTTTCTAGGTGCGCTAATATGCCTTATTATAACCAAATCGTGGAATTCCCGCTCGTCTACAACGTGATAGAAGCTTAGGAGATAAGAAGACTCCGTATACAACTCGCTTATAACCCTTAAAATGCAAGAATAATGGCCACAAGCCCAAAGACACCGTACACCATCCCTGTTGCCGCCCCGCCCTTCGCGCTGACCCCAAAATTTTGGGCGTCTAATGCCAATATCGGTGAAGGCTCGTAGCTGTTGACGGGCGTGCTGTCCGTGGTGCCGTTCCAGCAGTAGCGGTCGAAGCAGCGCTGACAGGTAGCGCTAATATCAGTGTTGGTGCGCTCGAGACTGCGGCGCAGAACGGCGCACGCCACACACGCAGGCCACTCGGAGTCGACGGTGCCGTTGCCCATCGTGGCCACATTGTAGCCGTTCTTAATGAAGGAGTTACGCTCCTCATCTGTATATGATGGATTGAACGTAGACACGTTGCTATAAGCTGTGTAAGGCGCATTGGCTACATACACGACTAGAGGCGGTATGTGATCGGCGTCGGCGAACTCGGTTGTGTTGCAGCCAAAGAAGGTCGGCTTCTGATTCAAACCTAGGTTGATGAAGGTCTCGGCATCCGGAACGGCGGGGAAGGCGGTTCCGTTAGCGATATCCGTCTTGCTGCGCTCGTAGGTAGCACGTAGCGCGGTGCCGTTCGGAAAGCTAGTCATGGTATCGGCGGATGAGTCAACCGCAAAGATGACATCGACATTGCGCATCGGCTGGATTAGCGGATGCAGCGGAATATTCTGCAAGTCTAAGCCACCATCGACAAGAGTCAGCTGCTCATCGTCGGCGTTGGCGTTAGTATCATTGTTGTAGCCATAAAAGGGGTTCGGCGTCCAAGCGGCGATGTCATCATTATCTCGGCCGATACGGGTCAAAACGGACTCGAGCGCACTGGTTACGATTTCGGGTAGACTCGAGGATGAAAGATTCTGTAGTAAAAACGCGTTGAAAAGCGAACTACTTGTTCCCATGAGATAACTATATGCATCGAATCCGCGGACGCAGTGGCCATTGTTAGGTACGACACCGCCGCTAAAGTTGGATCCGACATAACGAGTAGGAGCGAAGCCAAAGATAGTCGGATCATGCGATCCAATCTCCCACGGGTTAAACTCAAGAACTGTCGAGTTCAAAGAGACTACTGTCGTGCCTGGTCTACGCTCGTCACTCACTAGGATCGGCATGGGCGTGTCGGCTGAGGCGAAATTAGGAGCATCGGCGATGGAAGAAAACGTGTACGCCGGTCCGCCGTTCGGTGCGTTAATCAGCTGGTAAGAGAGAGCCCGTCCCCAGTAATCCGTAATAGAAGCATCGTATCCTGCATCCCGCTTATCATCAACCTGGTTTTTAACATCATCCCAGTACGAGACGGTGTTAACGATGGAGATCCCCCTCTCCTTTGGCCCCGAGAAGATAGAGTTAGAGAATTGCCATAGAGAGGAACCCTGGTAGCCGTCACGAAGCTGGACGATACTGGAAAAGTTATTGGCAAAGATGGAGCCGACTAGCCATCCACCACCCGAAAGACCTGCCAGATAAGTACTACTCTGTAGAAGACCACCAATACCACCGGCATCAGTCGATCCCGGCGTGCGGCTGTCAGCTGCAGCAATAAAGCCGGCACCATTCATAAGTGCGCGATAACCACCACCCGAGACGGCGATACCGATATTAGGTACGATAGATAAATTCTGCGAGTGAGAACTGACGTAGTTGACGGCGTCAAAATCGGATAGATTTGCCAGCTTAAAGAATTCTAGCATAGGATCGATGGTCTTGTTTCGGCGGTTTCGTAACCAACTCTGTTCCGACTGAGATAGAGTTCCGGCGCTGCGGATCGTTGGCCGTTCGCGCGGACAATCGACGATAGCCGGTGCATAACTACCGGATGGGTTGTCCGGACTTGCCCGACCCATCAAAACATCACGAACTTCGACGGCTGAAGATCGAGAGCCATCGTTACTCCCGGTTGGCGATCCGAGGGCCGCCGAGATAAGCGAGAGCAAGGGTAAAGGAAGGGTACGCATAGTCTCTCGTAACGAACCCCGGAAATGTAGATTAATCAAAGGGGCACACAGGGGAAAAAGAGGAACAGAAAAAAAGAAGAAGAAAAAAAAAAACAACAATATGGAAAGATGAAGTGGTAGTCAGTTAGTGCCGCGGTGGCACGTTGCGGTCTAGTTATACCTATCACCTACCTTACTCCTAATAGAGTAGGAGTAGCACGACTAATGTGAGATCCAAAAAAGCGGATGGAAATTCCAAGGACTTGCGTCACCCCCCCGGAAGCATGAATAAAGGGAAGAGAAACAAAAAAAGCATCAAGGTGTCGAGCCCTATTACCATATTGGGAAAGGTTTCCAAGCCTTCATCAGCCGCGAGCCGTGTTAACCGTTGCTTAGAACTATTAGAGCCAATCTTTTTAGCATTACCTTACACTACATTCCGACCGGGTGGCCTCAAGAATGAGGCTATGCTAAAGATAAATGGATTATCTTAGGTTAGGTTAGGTAGGGAAAAGTAAGCATTGCATTGTCGAACAAATCGGATGGCAGTTGGGAAAGCTAAGAAATTCCATCGAATAAAAATACATAAAAAAATATTGCAATATTGATGTACACCTAGGTAGGCTATTATGTACAGTACGCCCCTTGTAATAATGTTAGCTTACTGGACGTGCACGATACAAAACAAGGCTTTTAATTCTGGATAGACAAACGCCCTTTAAAGCATCTCAACTATTATACCAGGTTTTTATAGCATAAAATACCCTGAAACGACGTTTTCGAAAAGCTATAACAACCTCATAGGGCGATAATAGATATACGCTTCAGGATTTTAGCAAAGTAGCTCTAGGGGTCCGCTGAATAACATTATTACAAGGGGCGTACTGTACTATGGTAGTGGGACAACCCTGCTATGCCACATGCCACTTAGCAAAAAAAGGCTGTAAAGCTGTGTTGTAAAGCTGTAAAGCTATAAAGCTGACTACTTGCGCTAAAGGCTTGGGTACTTATTTTAATCTCATCTAATATAGGATCTACAACGCCCGAGACACTAATGCGGAAGTATAGTGGTGCCTTGCATAAGTACCGCGGTTAGTTTTGTCTAGGGCGGTCGATCGCCGAGCCGGGTGGCTGGACTAACTGGAGCAATGACGACTCAACCTGTGATAGCTTGTTATCGTCCGAACTATCCGGGGAAGAGCGTTGTACATCCAATTGTTTTGTTCAATACATGTACCTAATGTTAATCCACGGAAACTTTGCTGGTGCCATGTGTCGTTTCAGAATCAGACCATGTTATATTTCCATTTATGTCCACTTTCCACCTTCCACCTTCCGAATTTACGGGTAAGCATTAATTTGCGAGATAAGGGAGAGAATACTATGTAAAGTTCTACTCCAATAAGTCAAATATTATATAATTAATACGCCGTATATGTACGTTTCAGGGGACGATTTTATGCACAGACCACTTCTGACTCGGCGGTAGGAAAATCGGATTCGGTCGGGCTCTTCGGATTCCAATCCCGTTTTTGAGGATTTTGAGGATTTTGAGTCAAGGTAGACCAACCGAGCTATGAGTCAACATCAATAACTATGGCTTCATTAAAGGTTATACGTTTTATGACACTGTTGAGTCACTTTATAAATCCCATAAAGTCTATAAGAAATCGTGAAATTTTCTCAATATCTACCTTACCTATCATTGTCTCCTATTCTCAACTGCAGTTATACGCGCGAGTCAGTAGCACCCTATGGAATGGCCCCTCTAAAAATTCTCATCTGTGGCGGTGGTATTGCGGGACCAGCCCTTGCATTCTGGCTTAGTCGTAAAGGTCACCACGTGGAAGTCGTCGAGCGCTTCCCGGCTCTTAGGGCGACAGGGGCTCAGATTGACCTCCGCGCTCAAGGTATCGAAGTGGCGAAGCGCATGGGACTTCTAGAAGCAATACGCAGTATACGTGTCGATGAAGCCGGTGTATCTTTTGTAGACTCACAGGGGAGGGTGAAAGGGACAGTCAGTATGTAACTTCGACGATTTCCTTCCCCCCCTCCTTTTTAGTTAATTCCGGGGAGCGGTAATCTCGGGAGCCGGCATATATACCTGTCGAGCTGAACGGAGAGTCACATCCTCCGAGACAAACCAAACACCCTTGAATTTCTTATCCCAAGACGTAGTCCTTAACTAACAATGTTGCAGTGGCCAATACGTCCGGTAAAGGTGCGCAGTCTTTGACGTCCGAATATGAGCTCATGCGTGGAGATGTCGTACGCTTACTCTACGATACGACAAAGGATAACGTAGAGTACATCTTTGGCAAGACTGTAGAAAGCTTCGAGCAGGACGAAAAACAGGTTATTGCTCATTTCTCTGACGGATCATCTGACACCTTCGATCTCCTAGTCGGGGCAGACGGCCAGGGGTCGCGTATTCGAAGGGCCATCCTACCGCCTGATACCCCGGAACCTTACCGACGACTTGGAATATGCATCGCATACTGGTTTATACCTCGCGCAGAAGGAGATACTAATATCCGCAGGACATACCTGGCTCCTGGTGGCCGTATGATATTCCGCCGGACTCACAACTCCACAGATACTCAAGTCTACTTCTTTCTAAAGGATGACTCTCCAGAACCATCAAGCCTTCCAAGAGCGTCCGTGGAACAGCAGAAGGAATTTTGGACACAGAGGTTTCGTGATGCGGGATGGCAAACGGATCGGTTTCTCGAAGGCATGAAGACAACCGAGAACTTCTACTGCCAGGAAGTTGTTCAGGTTTGCACGAACACATGGTCCAAAGGCCGAGTTGTTCTTCTAGGCGATGCAGCACACTGTGCGTCTCCTTTCAGCGGTATGGGGACTACAGGTGCTCTCGTCGGCGCCTACGTCCTAGCTGGAGAAATCGATCGCAACCCCGATGATCTCCCCCAAGCTTTTGCGAACTACGACCAAAAGCTCCGACCCTTCGTCGACGAGATCCAGAATATCAAGCCGGCCCTTGTCCGGTTAGGCATGCCCGATTCATGGTGGGGCATTATGATAATTCATTTTATTGCGGGGCTACTCTGCTATTTTCGTATCCCTGAACTCATCGCGAGGTTCTCGAAAGAGGAGAAGGGCGGGTGGGAGTTACCAGACTATCCAGAGCTTAACCCTTCTCGATAAGACCCTGGATTACTCAAATACGAAAATCCAATGGCAGTTCAAGTATAAGCCCAAAACTTTGACAAATCCCCGCTCAACATTATAAAATCACTAGGGATAGCTTCTCAGCTCATTAGGTATATTTCTATTCTTGGAACCTATCAGCCTATACTTGAATAATCTGGTTGGTATGATACTAGTTTCGAATTTGGTTTGGGCTGGTCATTATCAGACTAAGCCCTTACATAGGACTCCCTAGCTAAGCCTCTAATAAGGCGTCAGATTAACGGTTTGTAAGTGATGTCTTCAAATAGTCCTATTAAGATACACTAATAGCGCTTACACTTTATAGTAAGATTACCTATGTAGTTGAATATACCCTGACATTAATAATACTTAATACAAAAGTACAATTTATCCAAAGCCAGTCCTCGACATCAAATTTTATCTCATGTGAAAACGAATATTTCCAAAAGTTCTCACTTACACGTTGATATATTACTGGACCGTAAGTACTGAATAAGCAATGACCTAAAAGTTAACTTCCCCCTAGCTTCTAAGCCTCCTCGAACTGGTCCGCCGTTAATCCATAGGCACGCATTAGCCTATTTCCTATATTCCGCGCCAAGTCTTTGGTAATTACTGGACGCGGGTGGGGCCTATGGATTATAATGGATTTGCCGTGGTTATCCGGATACGTAAATTGATACGATGAACCCTTTACGGGCTGTACCTTAAACCCTATCTTTTCCATAGCTCCTAGGAAGCTCTCCCATTCAATTTCCGCGTTTCCGAGGAATAATGCCTTGATTACCTTTATGTTTCGGCGTTGGAGCCTTATGAGTTGCTTAGGTGCGTTTAGGGGCTGCACGGAGGGGCTTGTTGATATACCGCTTGATGGTGAAATCGACGATGAGTTTAGAGATACTGTAAAGATATCTATATTTGACGTATGAGGTGATGTCTGTGTTAGTGTTTGTGGTTCCTCGGGCACTATGATACCGGGGAGGCTTTCATTTCGAATTTGTCTGAATGCGATATAGTCCTTTAAGAGCTCGTGGGGCTTCTGTCCTCCAACATCTTCGAATAATGCGTCTGCTTGATCCCAGAATCGGTTTAGGTTCTCATAAGCCGTCGTTAGACTGACCTCTGTCTTATCACAAGCCTGACTCTCATGGACGGGATATGCGAATGTGGACTGCAAAGGATAGATCAAATCAAATATACCCTTGTCCATCTCAGACGCTTTGAATATAGTATCGAGCACTGGCAGCTGGATGCTACATTCACCATCATTTCTCCAAAGCCCCGGGATATACGGCCGATAGAGTCTTAATTGCCGGAGCGATTCACAAGCTACAAAAAGCTTCTCGAGAGTCCCGGAGACCGCTGGTAATATATAGGACCGAAGATAAGCATCGTTTTTCAATATGGTTTCTATATCGCTAACTAGAGATATACTTAAGTCGGCGTCGTCACGCGAGTCGGCTATACAGTCATGGAGAGCATGCGATACTGTGAATCCTTCCTGGATCTCGATTTCGATCGCAGACGACTCTAGCTGAGAAGCGAAATACTGGATAGTGTACATCAAGAAATCCTTTAGCCGAAAGAGTGCTGTTTTGCGCGGGTTAAGTAGCCCCTGTGATGCCAGCTCCTCAGAAGGGTTTCTCGATTCTTTGGCTAACTCCGCAACGCGAAGCTCGAGTTCCCGCCAGATGACTATATCGCCATAGGTATCCCTCAAAGTTTTGCGAATAGCGAACACGTGCTGGGACATATCTGAGTCTCGTTCCTGTGGCTCCTTGCTACGCAAATGTCTAGTAATGTCCGAGATAGCATCGGCGAAGAAACTTGGGTCCTCCCGCAACGCCCAAAAGTTCTCCTCCGCGTCGAAATGATGGGCTAAGAGCAGTTGCTGCAACTGATGGAAGTCAAGTTCTAAGGGGGTTCTATAAGATACTTCTGCCGTTAGGGTCGCGAGAGGAATTTCGTGTAGACTCTTCACCTCTACAATATCATAAAGAATACCACGGCAGCAATCCAAGAGGAACCTCATAATTCGCTCTTGGATTTCGAGAATGCGAATCCCTTCACCTGGTAGGAAACCCGCGCCGCTTATAAGCAGTGTTTCCATCTCCGCTCTCGACGCTCTAAAAAATGTCTCCAACCTGCCGTAGCCGCTCCGCGTATCCTTATCGTCGTCCGCGGCGTCAAACCGCATGAGATTATTATCGAGATAATTTATACTGACAACACCTTTCTCCACTGCAGACTTTGAATCCAGAAAGTCGCGGTTGACAAAGACACTTGGGTGCTTGCGACCTCTCGATTCCATAAAAAGGAGCAGACGATCGCCGGAGAGGAGATCCTCCAAGTTAATATACGGCCACATATACGCCTCTCTCAGACTATTGAAGTCCGTGACCGAGACACGGCCAGATAGCGGGTCTTTAGACAGACGGGCGGGAATCATGTCTGGCCACGCGCCTCGCAACACACTCTCGCGACTGGAGAGCTTGTACTTATTCCATCGCCGGGAAATAGCAATCCAATGAGAATCCAGTAAGTTCCGTAGCTCCTCCTGACGGTCAAAAATACCTTTCGACAGCGCCCTCGTCTTGGGTAAAAGCTCTTCAGCCTCATGAAATACTTTAGTATCAGGCCCTATGATCACCGGCACTATATACTGAAGCGCCAGCTTCAGCGCCAGCATAAACTCAGGCTCCTCATGATCCAGGATTGCTACAACTCCAGGGCTATCCAAAACAGACTTGACAGCCGTTCTAAATTTCCCGTCGAACTCGTTGACGTCGACTTGTGTCTGCTCGTATCGCGCGAGATGTCGTAGTAGTCCGTCTCGCTTTGTAGACAACACAGATCGCATTAGATATTTCTTGCCTCTCATAGAAGGAGTATCTAAATTGGGATGTGAATCCATCGATGCAATTCTCTGCTCCCCGGTGTGATTAGAGACGCCCGTGTTATATGCTGAAGTATCGCCTATCCCGTCTCTAAACATTTGGGCAAATATTTAATTTCCGCCCAGAGGGTATGTAAAAAACAAATTCGGTAGGGATAACACTTAACCTAATCTTCGAGTGAGATTTGATTCCGGGGCTCTCTATTTTTATACATACCTAGGTACCTAGATAGCAGCGTGAATGAGAGGCGATACTACCCCTCCGTATTGTCTGACAGCGTGGCCATGTTTCTTAGTTTATGTTTAAGGTTGAAACAGACAAGTTGCGTCTCCTATTAGTTATCTATCTTCGTTCTTCGCCACTTTAATATCTATCTACTGTCGTTTTGAAGTAGTTTGTAACTTACCATATCGTATTTGGGATAATAAATGATTTCCTTACCTTTGTTTAACTCTGGGACTCAACTGTTGAAACTAATAGCGATGCAGTCACTGCGTTGAAGTTGCCCAGGCTGTTGTTACAACTACGACTTTAGGTCTTCTGATAGTTTTACCTAGATAAATTCTTTTGTCTGATTTAACTCTCGGTCTTCAAGTTGCTGACACAAATTTCTATTTTCGCATAGTTTCAATAAGTTTCCTGCCCGACAACTGAAACCGTAGCTTATCACAGTGAAATCATAATTCAGAGTATATAAAGGACATTATATGTTATCAGTTTTGAAGCAAATATCAGATCAGGTATACTTGACTACAAGTGGCAAAATAGGCCTATCTGCAAACATAACTATTCTACCTACGGGGGTGAACGCAACACTTGACAGGAGCCATCGTAATTTAACTACCCAGACAATGTATCACGACCAACAATCGATAGGGAAAAACTAAACCAACAGGTATAAACAGCTTTTGCAGCTATGATACCATTGCCGAGGTACTTAATCCTAACTCCGGAGGCCATGCCAAATCCTTTCACTCACACGCTCGTTCACACACTGACCGTCAGTACAGGGGGTCCACAAAGGACAAAAAATAATTCGCCGCCACAAAAGGGCGCATACCGACGATAAAAAATATCGTCTCTTTTTCCTGGCCAGCAAATAAACACTCAAAAGAAAAGAAATATGGCTCATACGTTCCAGTCAACAAGGCCTTAAACTCCAACGAGTCTACCGCTCGACACGATAGCATATTGATACAAGTGTGCTACCCTAACCCCACAAGCTGAAAACCAGAGGTACCCTCTACGGTTTGGACTCCGTTACCGGGGTTGGGGCAATTCTTCGCTTCTTAGGTTGACCGCCCGATGCCTCGTCCTTCTCGCTCTCGCTAGCTTCTCGCTTGACACCAGCAACAATATTACTACCGTTTCCAGGTGTTTCTGGAGGGGTTGCGATGGGTATCCCTGTTACCTTGCCGGAGTTTGTGGCGGCGATGCTGGGTATGCTTCCACTGATAAGAGGTGGGTTATTCATAACTGAAATTTGGGTCGCGATTGACGACGTGGAATTCGATCGAGTGGGTGATGAAGGGCGCGCGCTTACAAATGATGCTGTGGCTGGAGGGGATGGAGCTGCAAAGGAGGTGGCTGAGTTACGATGTTGGTGATTAGGGAAGGGTGATGGGGGCGCAAAGGCGGATGTTGGTGTAGGCAATGGAGTAGGCTGGCTTGAAGGAGTGCCTGCGCTAGTGACAGCAGCAGCAGTAGTAGTAGCAGCAACAGAAATCTTAGGGCCCATAAGATCACCCTTGTACTCCTGGCCTAGTTCACCAGGTGTAAACGATAGTGTCGAACAAAATCCGTCAGACGAGGAAATGAGTAGTGTTAAACCGTCGTTTGACCTAGACGCTGGTTAGATACTACGATAAGTCCGAAGTGAGGGGGGTAACATACCAGGTAAGATCCGTAAATGTGGCAAGATGTAGATTACTGACAACGCAGATGGGAGTGGTCTGCTGGGTATCATAGAGAAGCACAGAGTCTTGAGTTGCTACAGCATACACCATACGGTACGGCAGCGCAAATGTGGGCTTAGGTCCAGGAGTAGTCGGACCGGTCTCCAAGTTCAGATGCTTAGACGGGGTAGACAACTTCTCCGGGTCTGGCGCTGAGGATGTTGGAGGTGGAGGAGGGGGGTCCATCACCGCAGGTAGCGGTTTAGAAATAGGCTCGGGAAGAGCAGGAATAGGATCTTCTGGCGAAGATGTATCGATAGTGATGTGTTTCGTAATTGGCGGAGATTGCCTGAGTGTATAGGTTATGGGTGAACACTTCACGGCAACCGAAGGCTTCTTTAGGCCGGGGAGATGAGCAATAGGTGGCTTGTTGATACCACCTCGGGTATATATATAGACAGTGTTAATGACCTCATATGTAGGTCTAAGGCCATCTGCTTGGTGCTGCATTTGGAATTGGCCGGCAGGGGTCAGAAGCAGGCTGCCATCCGGAGTAAAAGTCAGGCGTCGAAAAAAAGATGTAAGGGTTTCGCTGGCGTAGAGACTTGCGTTTTTCATCCCTACACTAAGACCATGATTAAGTTTTGGAGATGGCTCGATGGGCATCACCGCAGGTAGAGGTAGCGACGGTGCTGGGGATACGGATCGTCGAGATGAAAACGAAGAGCGTCTGCTATGACTGACTACACTCGGGGGATTCATTGGTAAGGGAACAGATTGCGGTGTTCCGGGCGCAGACAATACTGGTGATCCCATAGAGGCGCTCGGCGTGTCAACCGCGGCTGCAAGCTGAGTTCGGTAGCCGATATCTGACGGGGCGGGGCTGTTAGATGAGATACGTCTGCTCGGGGGCAGATCTGCTTTGGCGTGACTAGCAACCTTGGGAGGTTTCTCATCGTGGCTAGTAAGCGCATACTGTCCATCCTTGGTCTTGAGGGAATAGATGTGAACGGATCGGTCTGACGACTGAGTTGCGATATATTCATTTAGGGGATCCCATGCGACGCCCTGCACGTAGTGACTATGTTCGGCAATTTGCCGTATGAGAACACCTATAGACGAGTAAGTCACAACTGGGATAGAATATATACTTGGGATATATCTAACTACGAACCTGTACCGGCATTATAAATTCGAGCGATATTGTCCATGCTTCCAATGATGAAGTAGGTAGCATCCGGAGACCAGGCTAGATCGTATATTTCCGAACCGGTAGGGCGGAACATATGCTTGGTACGCCACGTTTCTTTGTCTTCGAGGCCTTCATTCCCGAATGTAGTCGGGTTGTGATTTTCGCTAGGAACCCATAGGATTACATTACCATCATCTCCAGCAGAAGCGAGGGTTTCTCCTTTGGGAGCCCACCGAACGACATTGACGGCTTGAGTGTGTTTGGCGAGAGTTGAGAGGTATTCAACCTTGCGATCTTCGCCATCACCTTCAACTTTCCAGATACGCACATTGTTATCTCCTCCTCCCGTAGCCAGCCTTCCCTTGCCATGCTGAGACTCGAAATGGGCGGAATAGATGGGGGCATTTTTATCGTGCCAATTGATGATCAAAGGAGTTGACCTCATGGCGACGGTTCCATCCGGGACATGAGACTCTCTACGATGTAGTTGAGCGCGATGCGAAACGTCTACAGGATGATCGAGGCGTGGTTATAGCCGTAGGAGGGGAGAGGACGAGGCTGCTTCGAATTGGCTTTCGAGATTGTAAGGCGACAAGGAAATGCTACTTGATATTGGTTAAATACCTAACCTACCCTAAAAGATATAAAGTGGTAGTGTTGGGAATAATGCCTAGATTGATTCTAGATTGATTCTAGAAAGAGTAATAGAAACTTGTAACGCGTAAGTAAGGGAAGTGGATGTTAAAAGTTGTGAATGATTGGTGTTTTGAAATGCGAAGGCTCGAGCATTGGTTAAAGATGAGGTTGAACTTGGCTGGAGAACATACCGTTGCAGCGAGGACATTAGTGGCATTAGTGGCCTTACAGGGATCCCCCAGGCGTCCTTTGATTGTTGGTCGCGACCCGTTTGGAGGGTTCTTAGGGCTATGTAACTGATAACTATAGCTATCTGATAAGGTGGTAGGTGGTATAGGTGGTAGGTAGTAAGCAGTATAATACTTTTAATAGAGGTAGTTGCCTTCTAACCAGGTAACATAAAGGCTAGGTAGGTTACCTTAGGCGACTTCCTTGATTGTCCAGTTCTCATCTAAAATAGGAAGAGAGGAACCAAGGTGTACCTGCCTTACCTACCCGTTTATCTTAATCTCTTTTAAGTTTGCTGTAATATTTGAGGGATAATTTTGAGTATTTGACTCTTGACTCTTGACTCTTGGAGAAATACTTCTATACTTATCCATTGGCATTGTGCGCACCAGACAAAGCAGTACCTTACCTACGGTAGTAATTTACACGTTGCAAACTACAACCACCCATATACGCGTCTAGGCGCGTTTGTTCCGCGGGACCAATCAGAATCAAGTCTATAGTCGAATTTGGGATCACCTCACCCACCCCGCTATCTCGTTCCATATGTGAATACTACACTCATCATAGACCATAAGGTGATAACGTACGTATCAAATACGTATCAAACATGTTTGCCCTGGTGAGAAAGGGAGGGATAGATGAATCATGATCGACCCAGTTGTTGGATGTCTTACAACGTATTAGCCCTTTATGAATATTCCTTATCTTTATACGCCAATGTCAGTAGTCAAGTATACTAAGACCAAATGCGGGTATTAACTTCGGCTATGATAATAAGAGGTAGGTAACTAATTGTATCATAAGAAGATCCATTGTCTCCTTATATATAATTTACCCGTTGTCTACTTACCTATATACTTCGATATATAGGAGGTAGGTAAGTTTTTAATCGAAACAAACATCGTCTGTCCAAGGTCTAATGGTTAGCTATCACGTGGGTACCTTCATAGGCAACCCTTAGTATCACGTTTCACACATGTAGAAAAGAACCATTCATAAGTGAGGTAGACATCAACGACATACCACTTTGGATCCCATGTGACGGTCGTAGTCAGCTCAATGGCAACTTAACGAGCCGCATTTTCTCTGCCAAGAGCCATATGCAAAGAATGCTAAAAGCGCATGACACTTCTTGTTTAGCGCTAACGGGATTATAAATTAACGGTTCGCATATCATCACCGTTGTATTCTTCCCAGAGTTGAAATTATCCTTACCAATGTCAAAGCTCTTGCATGCTCTCGTCGATGTTAGAAATCTCCCAGCCTCTTGAAGCATGTGGTGATCTGAGACGGTCAACCTCTCTTTTTTAAAGATCGGAGAGCATCCGATGGCGGCTCTGCATTTGAAATTTTAGCGGTTAGCGGTCTAAGCGGAAGATCTCTGATAAATTCCTCGTCAGCACTAACATGTATACACGTTGTCTAATTTGCGCCGGGGCCTCGACTGGCCGCTTAGGAGCTTGCAGGATCAGTACTATGTGGGCGGAATGCGGAAGAGGACCTAGCAACGTGAGCGGTCCGTCATCCGTGATCCAACCGTAGAAGCGGTGTGTAAAAGTCTCATGTTACCGACCCCATGCACCGCGAATATCACAATGCTCCGAACACCATCGGTCATTGGCCGTTCACCTATTCCCCTACCGGTATCAATAATACCTACTGTTATGCTACCTATCTTGCTAGTCCAGGGTAGATCATGATCGATGCATCGTAATAATATACGGAAACTAATCACTGTCGAGGTCATTGTCGAGGTGGTTGAAATTGTATCAAGCCAGAAGGGAGAATATATGCCGGTGTCGTTTACATATCATTTTACATATTAGTTCACATACCATTACATAGCAGATGCCGAATGACTGCAGATTCTCGATTGGAGCTTCTTGATTCGTATTAGTATTATCTGACGTGATGGCCCCTGGTCCGAGCTATCTTATAGCTACCTAGGTATGTATATCGAACTACTATAGTGCAATTATTTCTCGTATTTTGTACGATAGAGACGGGTCTCTTTTATTGATATTTGACTTCTCGATAAATCTTGATAATCTCAAAGTTACCGTGCCTCTCCGAATCCGGAGAATATTCAATTCATACTTGATGATGAGGCATGAACCGTGTTTTATCCATGTCTATTTTATCCATGTCTATCGTATTAACGGTACGACATGGACACAGTAACTTGGCGCATACAGTATACAGTGATGCCCCGCGTCGCGGGTAGGTAATTCTAGGTAATTCCCCGGTTCGACAAATTGATAACCCACGGGCCGCATATGCCAACGTCACATAAATAAATTAGTGCTAATGTACGAAGTCCCTCTTCGACACATGTATACCTATAGGTAGACCTAGGTTAACTAGTTTATGTACCTAAGATATGTAAGTAAGCTGACGCAAATCTGCCCGGGACTGATCATCTGCTGTACTAAGTTCTCTTGTAAGCCGAAGAATCAGTGGAAGGAGCAAGTTTAAGCCACTTACCGGGCTAGCCTCTAAGTAAAGTTATACAAATAAACTATAACGGACCGGATAGGATATTGCGTGTAACAGAATATTTATGTATGTACGAAGTAGTTAGCAAAATTTCTATTTCAATTTTTTCTTTTTTTCCTTCTTATTCGATGACGACTTTCCCGGTTATTACCACAAGCCACTTTTACTCATATTTAGTTCATCTTAGTTCTTTGGTTCCTTAATCTTGATCATCGCTGTCAACCTCGATATGGAAATATGACTATACCTTACTAGCTCAATAGTACTACCCTTGATCACCTTCTGATTTTAGATCCAGCTGGGTTAGAATGCAACTAAACTGATCCTTCTGCACGACGGTCCCTTAAACCCCCCCGCTGTCATCACCATCGGCTGCTTTTTGTTATACAAACCTCGTCAGAAGACGACGACGACTAGCTTTAGTCGCTAATTAACAAAACTCATCTTCTCCCCCCCTACACCGTTGAAACACAGTATCGTATTGTTCACACCGATAATTATCCTAATCAGGATATGATGCAACACGATGGATACCGTACCTATCTCCTTCTGCTGCGGTGGGTCTAGCATCATGTCCATATGGACGAGTCCGGACGAATCGGCATCGGCCTATCACACAGAACCCGCCGCTACATATGCAACATATAAGGTAGCAAGGGAGTCTAGCAATCTAGGACTCGTTGCCGGGGTAGTGACGCTACTATTAAGGTGGCTCCCCATTCTCAGTACCCTCTTCCCGGGTCTCCTCCGTCATGAAAAGAGGGCCTCCCCATATGAGTCAACCGGCCAGCCGAGAGGCGCTTTACCAATGAATCCGTGCAGGGAGCCCCGAAGGGATACTGTACTGCGTTCTGCATTGCTCATTAGGTACCTCCTGGCCAATGGCATGTAATTCATACTGCTCTCTATTCCTTTGTTACTCGCACTGAACGACGTAGCTTCGAAATTTCTTCAATCTCAACTACTAGCAAAATACTAGTACGGCTGGCGTCTATCTTTTTCTCTTTCCGATGGCCCCCAGTTTGAATTGAATACTCTTAGAAGTTGCCTTCGTTGTCTCGTCCTGTTGCGCCTCTGCCTCCCTTTTGCGCTTCTTGTCGCATCTATTCGGGAAGGCTTCTACCAGCCACTAGCTCTGGCATCCTGAGCTTAACTCCGAAAACAGCATTCGTATCACCAAACATGTCTAATGACAAGACAGTAGTGCTCGTGACTTCGGCTGTTGGCTTAGGGGTCGTTGCGATACTTTCCGTCCCTGCCGCCCTGAATCTGGGTAGACTGCGTAGTCGTGGTTCGAAGTGCGCGACCGAAATATACGAGGATAAGGATGGCAAGAGCACGCCGGAGGCCGTCAAGGCCTTCAGTACTAAGGTACCTAAGGCCATGATGCTAATTTTCTCCCTAATTGGGCTCGGCTTGTCGATAGCGCTGGCTGTGATCTCGACGTTGAGCACACAAGGTGTAGAAAGTGGCTTGTTCCTGGCAAATTGGTTGGCCGTTATAATCTGGGTAAGCTCACCGTTACACACAAGAAACATCAGGACTGTCAGATTACTGACACACCACGTTGCACGTGGACGCAGGCTCTTTTAACCTTGCAGGTCGTCTGTGTCGCGGCTAGCCGAGACTCTGTAGCCGCTTACGGTCTGGGCATCTGGTCTTTCCTCTCATGCGTCGTTCTCACCGCCGTTCTCGCGGCTCAGGATAACGATGTAGCCGCGCTTCTACTAAAACAACATGCGACCGGGGTACTTTCTATACGCGCAGTAGAATTAGTTGTGGCCTTGTGCTTGGCTGTTGCTAGCTTATCCATTCCCCGACGACCTGACGTATACTACAACGGCCAGCTAGTCGACAGGCTATATACTGAATCAGCATGGAGCATGCTTAACTGGAGCTGGCCTGCTTACCTGCTTCGCCAGGCTTCCAAGCAGAACGGCCTCGATTTAGCTGATCTTCCCAGGCCTGACCACTACACGAGGTCCAAGGAAACTACCACCGATTGGGAAAGCCGGAAGTTCACTGGCCCGCTTTGGATTTCTATTATTGCTGCTCACAAGTGGATTTTTACACTTCAATGGT